ACCCCCCCCCCCCCCCGGCATCTACAACAAACTTATGGCTTAAAGGGCAAGGACCCCCTCTTCGCGTTAGTCGTTGGTTGGAAGTCCCTCGTGTGTCGGTGTTTCACTACACGGGGGCGTTACCACCCGGTCTTGGTTATGACGTTATCATACAGTATCATGACTGATACTGAACGCGAAGCAGGTCACCAGCAGTGACACATGAGATGCTGCACACAACATGAGGTCAGGTGGATGTGGTTCGAATCCGGAAAGAAAATGTGTATCTACATAACGCAGAAATCAGCATGTCCACGTTCGAGACCTACTTCGTTCCGAAGTGATGCTTGATGTATTGACTCGTACATGAATGAAACGCGAATTTTGAGCCCAGCGGCAGAGCTTTGCCTTCTGTTCGATGTCACAGCCTTCCCATCTAGTCGAACACTACACAGCAGTACTGCTGTAGCACATGTCAGCGTGTCAACGAGCAAGTCGTTGCCTATTGTACAATAGCCAACATCGACTGATATGGTAGTTAAAGAGAAGGAAGGAAGGACTCCTGTGCCGCAAGGTCGTGTTGGATTTATTGCACCCGTCATCGGCGATTTAGAGTATTACAGGATGTAGTCTACTTTTGTAGAAGTCACCCGCGTCATCTGCGTCCCTCATCATTGCAACGGGCGTTCTCACGTAGGCAGAGTTGCCGTCGTAACGGAGCAACGTGATTGCCGCGATACACACGCCGACAGCAGCATGAAGCAATACAAACGGGTCACCAACAACGAAAGGTACTACACTAGACCGTGCTCTAGGCGCAAGGTCGCACCGGACTCTGCCATGCTATCTACAAGGGTTGGCAAAATGCAACTCCTAGAAAGAGACCCCGCACATGACGGCATGCACAATATGCAACCCACTGCACACTGCACACAGAAGAAGCTTCTTACCGGGTGCGCAAGCGGCAAAGGAGACTGGAAGCCATTGCTTCGCACCGGCAAGGTGCCCACAGGCCGAAACGACAGCATTGTTGACGCGCAGCAGCAAGTGCCTTACAGATACACACATACAGGGCCGGTGTGCGCCGCTCTCTTTTTGCTGCCGTCGAAGCTGCTGGGTGCTCTTCTAGTGCTCTCTCGTTCTTTTGCATTTACGGAGCCCCAGAGCAACCCCTCATCCAACACGCCTCCTCCATTGCTCAACGCCAGTTAATCGATTGCGCCGCGTCCTGCCTCTCGCCCGAGACTGAGAGCAAAGAGCATACTCGAGCTCCGCTGAAGGTGCTTCCCCGCGTGTTTCCAGTTGCTTGCTGGCCCTTGAACCATGCAGGTAAGTGTGTACGTCTGTGTGTGTGGTCATTTGATTCAGCCTGTAGTTTGGGAGAGATGTCTAGCTCAATCAACATCGTCCAAACTCCGCCACTCAACTCCACACAATCTGTGGAGGACCTCTGATGATGCCCGCATGTCCTGATCATGTGATGTGGTCAAGTACATCAGCATTCCACTTGGTACTTAGAGAGTGCGGACAATGCAGTCCATGCTGGATGGCCTCAGGTTCCCTAGGTCGTGTCGGCTTGTCTGTCTCTCGGCTGCTGTCTTGTACCCACATGGGTTTTGTACATGGTACCGACATTGCACATCCTGCTTGCTGCCAGAAGGTGCATGGCTCGGACTCTACTGCAAGCATGTGAACAGTAGATAGGAGCTCATTGTGCCCAAGTGGAACCCTGTCCCCCAGAGAGAGAGCGAAGCCGGGCTAGCACGGTTTCCCCGACTTTTTCCGTGCCCATTGTGATCAAGCCCGTAGCGACGTGCTCGGTATTGTTACATTACCATAGACAGCGGTAGCTGCGGAAGTTCTGCGACCGGCCCCTGCGGGGTTTCTAAAGGACCGTACAGCTGTCTTCTCCCAGGGTTCGAGTACATGGGAGAAACCCTCGTGCCGATGAACTCCGCTAACAACCGGCAATGAATACGTCTTATGTAGGGAAGGCGGGCGGGCATGAAGATTCCACGCTTATATGTAGTATCCCGCCGAAAGCTCTTGACACGAAAAGGCTTGTTTGTCGCTCACATGACGCCACACACGCAATTGCTGTCGACGAAACCACATACCCAAACCCGAAACACCGATCCCATGCTGACATTTGTTGGCGTGGTGCTTCCCTCTGTCGGTCTTGTCCCGGGTGCGTGCTGTGTCCTTAATTGCTTTGGCGTCTCGTAGAGCGATGACGTGATCTGGCAAGTGGTCAACTACCAGTTCTGCTCTTTCAAGAGCAAGATCGCGAAGGAGCAGACGTTCTGCAGGTCCGTGCAACGCACTGGTTGCTGCCCGCCGTAGCCCCCTTGTGGCATGCGTTGTCGTTGCTATTGTCTTCACATAAAAAAACGTTTCGATCTCTCTACCCAGTACCTTCATCTGTCCGTACTGATGTGTTGCAAAATTGGTTGCCTCATGTACCAGGGACGTCGGAAAAGAGGACTGCGGTGGTGAAGAGATGTTACAGCAGTTTTGGGAGGATACTGTACTTCGTGTGTTGTCATCCGAAGCCGACGGCGGTTCTTCCATCTTCCATGATCCTCCATGCACGGTTTGCCTTCAGCACGGCAACATACTCCTATTTACAATACAATACGTGGTAGTGAACACAGAAATCGTGTGCGCCTTGGGAACTAGTCTGCGTCGCCCGCCACAGGCAGATTATCCCACAAAGAATCCCATCATACTGCCGCCCGCCTCGCTGTTTGCTCCACCAGCTGTCCAAGCAAGCGTCGGCGGGAGCCTCCCACGCAATCCAGCCCGGGTGTACCGCTTCCCGTACGCCAGCAACCCATCACTGTCTTCCTTTTCTTTGTATTGTAGTATTGTAGCCTGCGTGTTCATTGTGGTGTTGACAACACAATATCTCCTCTCGGCATTCGTGTATTCGTTGCGCGTATGCTAGGAACGAGTACAACGTGACCGGGCTCTGCAACAAGAGCTCGTGCCCCCTGGCCAACTCTCGGTACGCCACCATCCGAGAGCACGATGGCGTGTGCTACCTGTACATCAAGACCATCGAGCGCGCACACACGCCCAAGAACCTTTGGGAGAAGATTAAGGTGGGAAATGCATTTTGCTTGAGAGATGCCATGCGTTGTATGCTTCGGATCGCAGTTAAACAAAGCGGTAAGAGAAAGGCGCGCCAAGTGACTGATATTGCCCCGTTGTCTAACCATTCGTGCGGAACACGAAGCATTGTTTTCGGACACCACGGTTGTTGTACGCCGCAGTCTCTGCATACCTGACAGATCCGGGGCACATGCGCCTGTTAGACTTCCTCCCTGGGTTCTGTTTAGAATCCCTCGCTTTCCGCACATGCGAGGCCCTGCATCGTAAGTCTTTTAGGTGGAGAAGCAAGCTCACACCTGTGAATAGATCCCGCTAGAGATGGTTGACAATAGGGACATTCTGACGAAGAGAACAGATGATGCATATTGAAAAATGACGTTGCGTGTTGGTGTGTCGATTCTTGCGTGTCGGTGGCTCCTACATGGCCGCAACATGCCGTCTCTGTCCGAAACCTGTGTAACCTTTGTCGTTTGGTTCTCCTTTGTCGTTGTTGTTGCTCCTCGGACACGCGAGGATAGCTGTCCCGCAACTACGGCAAGGCGTTGGAGCGTGTTTCTCGAGAGCTGGAGTTCTTCCCGAAGCACTTGCAGCATAGGAGCAAGCAGCGCCTGACCAAGATCCACCAGTACCTCATCAGGATGCGCAAGCTTAAACTCAAGGCCAAGCCGAAGCTCGTCACCATCAACCCCAAGGTGTGTGCTTACGCAGAGGCAGTGGGAGGCCGACCTCTTCCTTCTCTCCTTGCCAGTAACCATGTTTTTGCGTTTCCGCAACGAGGGAATTTACGTCATCAGTGGCGCTTCCCTCCCCTTCGGAGGGCGAGACCCATCCCGCCTTTACGGTAGACGCTTGGGAGTGGGGAATATATTTGCATGTTGTTCTAACTGACAAGGTGCTTGTTCGTGTTTAGGTGGAGAAACGCGAGAAGATGAGAGAGAAGAAGGCATTGGTGGCGGCTAAGCTAGAGCGTTCAATCGAGGGGGAACTGCTGGAGCGGCTGAAGAAGGGTACCTACGGCGACATTTACAACTTCCCGGAGGTCCAGTACGAAAAGGTAACATATCATACCTATTTACCAGTTGTTGTTGTTGTAGTTGTGATCGTCGTTGATGTTTTTTATTGTTGGACGATGAAGATGACGACGACGACACAACTATGTGGTGGCGCCTATCGCTCCCATTGCTATTATGTTGCAGGATCTTCTTTTCTGATTGATGCCTCTCGTGGCACAGTTGTTAATGACGTGAGCATCCTTTTCCACAAGTCGTCTGTCTTCCAGCATTTTCAGGGAAAGCCTTGACCCTTAACTTACGAACAGGGAAGAACTAGTTCGGGCACTCCGCGATTCAATATCATGTGATCTTGCTATGCGAAATTTAGTTGCAATGTACAATGACCGTCCAAACAGGCGCTGACGGAGGCGGAGGACGAGTATGCGGAGCGAAACCCAGAGGCGATGGAGGAAGAGGAGGAGGAAGAGGAGCAGGAGGGAGAGGTGAGAGAAATAATGGCGTGGAAGAAGATCACTTGTACCAGAGGGACGAATTGTATACGTACCACGTAGCTTTAGACGCACAAGCGCAACCCCACTGGCTATAGTTTTGTCCTGTTTTTGTATTGCAGGTTGTGATGTATTCTAGCACATCTGTTTATTTGCTTCATTCTGATGTCCGAAAGTCTGTTGCGGGGACTTCGTGGTTGTAGTGACGAGGTGTGCAGTCAAAGGAGAAAGCGTGGAAGTTGCTCCAGGATGCTTGTGGTGTTTTTAGAGTGCTTGCATGCATATTCATCATGAAGTCTATGATTCTATTGGCTCGCGCTCTCATGACACTGCTGGTATTGCTGCCTTCCATCGAAAGCCGCCTTGGCCTCTATCTAGTATAGCACACTCTACCCTTTTCGTGTTCTGGTCCAGGCAGCCGCAGCGCAATACGGTGGGGGGCACGTATGTTGCGCGCGTTTGTTTGGGGGAGAAGAATCTGCGAAGCACCACGTTTTGGCGGCTAGCGTGTCAGAAGTTTGTTGTTTGGTGCAAGCGCCTGGACGCATGAAAAGAGAACGTGTCAAGACAAGAACAACACCAGCAACATTGCCACTCACAAGTCGAAGAGATGGAAATACTGTCTCCGCCTCCCTTACCTAGCTCCTCCTCCGATGTGTCGCAAGTCTACACGTCGTGATCACCGTAAACATCCCCCCCCCCCGCCCGCCCCCTGGTGTTTGCCATCGGGGTTGGGTTTTCGTCGCTTGGCAACGACGTTGTAAAACAAGCCGCCCCTCCCCGGTGTTTGCCATCGGGGTTGGGTTTTCGTCGCTTGGCAACGACGTTGTAAAACAAGCCAATTCACTTCGTGAGCTCGGCAACCAGGTTACCGTTTTTTTTTTTTACCTCCGGTTTTTTTTTTTTTGGCGGTAACCATAATGGTGGTCGAGTAGATCATGTTGTGCGGGGTGGAGAACCCTCGCTACGCGCAAGGGGGATGATCGCACCACGTTGTGTTAAAATGGTCAAGCACCCTCGAGGCAGTTACACAGTGCT